AAAATCAGCCAAACTACAAGCAGCCCGAAGTCCAACTGGTGAAGCTATGGGATCACAGGCAGACTGTCCTTAGTAGCTGCAATGGGTTGTGAGTTAATTCAGCTGTGGTTTAGAGAATTTGGCTTGAGGTAAAAGCTGTTTAACTGCGGGAGGCAGTGGAAGACAGGAGTGCCTGGTGTGCTCTGTTCCATGGGGTCACAAAGAGTCGGACACAACTAAACGGCTGAACAACAACAAAAAGCTGTTTAGAGGCTGGTGTCAGCAACATTGTCTCTCAGTCTGTAGAAACTGCCATAAAGTGCATGCAAGACACCAGTTTAAATATCAGTATTGCCTTAAATACGCAAAACCCTTTAATAAACAATATTCTCAACAGGTCATACTATATCCAGTGCTGGTGTCCATCTCATGCTTAAGCCTACTGCACCAAGCTATGAGGAGGATTTTAAAAGGAATGAGCAACTGTGGAAAAGGGTCACCTTGAGGAACTGAATTATTGTGGCAGGGAGTTCCATGGAACCCAAAATATAAAAATTAGAAAGCACGAATACCCAAACTTTATAAAAAGTAAGATAGTTTTCCTGTACATGGTGGGACTGGTCTCTCCCCCTGATAATGCCAGAGATTTTAAAAGTGGAGCTTAAAAGATAAGTGAAACTCTTCTCAGGTACTGAAGAGACATTAAAAGGGGGTGCCATGCAAAACAGTCTGGAGGAAGCATTCCATAAATGGGGGTCACTTCTAAAAAAGCTTTTTGTCTTGTGGCCACCCATTTTATGTCAGCTTGTGAGAATCCTCTGTTGGTGATCTCAGGGTTCAAGTGGATTCGCCATGGTCCCAAGTTGTAAAAAAATATTTAAAGGTCAGAGCCAGCACCTTGAATTGGACTAGAACATTGCAGGAGCCAACAAAGATGAAAAAATGCTGGCATAATATTACTGCAGTGTCTAGTTCCAGTTAGTACTCTTGAAGCCACATTCTATGCCAAATGAATTTTCTGGACCATTTTTAAGGATAGTCCCCACCTACGATGCTTTGTAACAATCTAACTGTAAAAAGTCTCCACTGTTCTCACATCATTTTACTGGTGCTTCTGGCCTATGATGAAAGCAGATTATGCGTTCTCCCTCTGCATCTCTGCTACTTTGTTCATTGTCTCTCAACTATGCTTCTAGAGCAAAAGCACCAATTTGCACCACCAATCAAATGTGTTCCCTGAAAAGAAAGGCGCCAATGAGAAAGAGCAGTTGCTTCCATTTTCATCCTGATCTCTGTGGAGCAATAATGGAGTAAATAAAATATGTTTCCCCACTCGGAGAAAAAGAGTTGTGAAGTAGAAAGCCAAAGTAAATATACTATACAGGGACAAATAAAAGGTGTCTGTGAGAAACAATTAATTGGCATGTTACTAGCACATGGGGATTTTAGTTCCAAATCTCTTCTTCATGTTTATATAGTCATCCTGATGCTAAACCTCACCTTCAAAAATCATGCCCGGAAGAGCTTAGATGCTAAATGTTACCTTCCTTAATGACCAGCCTGGCTGGATGAGGCTCTCCAAATTGTGCTGCTATGCTGCAGAGGTTCACTTCAGGGTGATTAGATGGATGCCTGGGAGGAGAGGAATTTTTTCACTTGGTGCCTAAATAGATGTAATGAAGGTGCCAGGCAAGCCTCCCTGGGGAGAGCATTCCACAAATTGGGAGCCACCACAGAAAAGGCAAGTTCTCATGTTGCCACCCTCTGGACCTCTCAAGGAGGAGGCACCTGATGAAGGGTCTCAGATGATGATTTCAGGATCTGTGTTGGTTCATATGTGGAGAGGTGATCCTTGAGGTTCCAGTTCTTCATCCATAAAATGGGAATAAAGACACCTATATCAGGATTATTGTGAGGAAGAAAAAAGTTATATACCAGCCTGTCAAGTAGAAGTGTTCAAATAACACAAAGAGGCAGGCCAGGTTTAGGTTACATAATTGTGGTTAATGTCAGGATACACCCTGGGGCCCAGGCAGCCCCCGGGATGAGATGAAACCTCTCTGGGCGCCCTCCTGGTGTTGCACTGTTCCTGGATGTCCATAAATCATCAGTCCCAGCATGCTCCAGCGACACGTAGCAAATGTCTACGTGCACACTCACTCAGCAGAGATCATGTGCTGGTCGTCTAGGCTAACCTAGAGGCAAGGTCTGAATTCAGTCCGAGGTCGAAGATGCAGTATGGAGGCAGTCCGAAGAAGTTGAAGCTGGATGCAGGGCAGGTAGTCGGGTGAGGTCAAGAGCTCTGGCAGGATAGCAAGACAGAGTTCAGGCAGGAACTGACAACCAACGAAGTTGCTCCCGCAACTTGGGACTGAGGCTGCCTGGCTTTTATCTGCCCCAAGGCACAGGGTGGCCCCAATCCTCAGGTGACTCGCCTCTCCTGGCCTGGAGGTGAGCACTCCTCCTGCGGGAACTTAGTTCCCTCCGCCTCTCTGCCCTGAGCCTCTGCAGCTCAGGAGAGGCTGGAGGGTTACTGGACCCAGAGGCAACCTCAGCTTCCTCTGATGGGGCTGAGAGTGGAGCACGTGCAGGCAATGGGTCCTCCATCACCGCAGGAGCCAGAGCAGACTCAGCTGATGCCTGCACATGAGGATCCAGCAAAGGTGAGGACCCTTCAGGCTCATGCCCCAGCCATGGCTCAGCTGGTTCTGGAGGCAGGGAATCCTGTGCAGGCTGGGATTCCTCAGGTTCAGCATCCGAATCCGAATCCCAGGCCATCACAGATCAGCAGAAATGAAGTGGAGAATTGTGGGCTCATTCTAAGTTTTTATTCAGCAATATTTACAGGACAAACGGTCAGGGCGTTCTCTCACTTCAGCTCTGAGAGAGAACAGAAAGTAAAAAATACACAAACACAGAAAGCAGAAGAGACAAGGCTAACTTCCGTTCTCAGGCTTTTCCAAGCCTAGAAAATAAACACAGGCAAGTGATGTAACAATCACACACCCAGCAACGGAGGACTGATATACTAACAGTTCTATCTCATGGAGAGGGATTGAGCTTTTGTAAAGTTATGTTATGAGATGTGCCAGATTCTGCAACATATGAACTGTATTGTACCATAATGAAATTGTCCGCAATACAATTTGAGGAAAGAAAAGGGAATTACCTAGGATGGTGATTAACTAGAACATCAGCAGTGATAAATATTTATCAATTTTATTCACTGGGTTTCTAAAATCCAATTAAAGCCAAAACCCAGTTGATATTTTGTTCATCACCTTTTCTGTGGCTCTCAACTGCGTAACTTCAGAAATATTAACACAAATGTGACTGCATGGATATAGGTAATCTTCAATTCTAGAGGATTAGACCTTTTCTGAAGTATAAGAGCCCTTCAAATGCTGTGGCAACTTAGGAAAGCTTCAAAGTCACACATTTTCTAAATGGAAAGTAGGTACAGCAATGACTACTATATATAAGGGGTCCAGAGTGGCAATTGCAAACACATACACGTTGCATATATATATGGCTTTTCTGCCTGTAAATATGGTCTCTGTTCACTGGGAAGTGCCATCTTCTGAGCACACATGCACACAGTAAAACACAGAAATTTGTGTGGGTGGATGGATGACTGTTACACATGTTTCTTTATGTGCTTAGCAGAAAGTTCTTAACAGCCCAACTGGCTCTCATAGCCATATACCAGCCATGTATGTCTTCTTGTCAGTGGGACTGATAAACTGCCCATTTTTGCTACCTGGCTGGAACTGCAAAACCAGGGGTTTATCAAGAACAAGCCACATGGCTGGTAGGCAGATTTCAGCTCATATAACTCAAATTTATAACTTCTGAGTTGTCTTTCTTGCTCTTATAGCTTTAGAATGGAATTGTCATCAAGCGGAACCTTCTTTACAGTCTCGGTTTACCACTTGCGTACTTTATGAAGTATCTCCTGCTCTCCGATGTTTTTACTGATTCTTTTAGTAGGTCCTAAGGGTGGAATAACCGGGAATTTGCCAGGGTTTTAATACTGGAAAAGGACTCACCCCTCTGATAGTCCTTCAAGTCTTACTTTCCACAGATTCTCTAAGCAAGTCAGAAGGGATATCAGGAGACCTCTCAGTTTGCACACCCCACCTTTTCCACATGGGGGTCCATTGGGCTAACCTATCTGAGGAACCCCAAAATCCTGGTTCTTGAACTGTCCTTTAGGGTGAGGAAAGAAATATCGCACTTTCTGTCGCCTCTAACAAATTTCTTGACATGGAAGATGCAGCCTGTTCATACTATGTCTGCTTGGGTTATGCTTTTATTTAGGATTAAGAAGAAAGGAGAGATATTCTATTGTGGTCCTCCATGCCAACATTTTAAAAGTCACTTCTTTCCTTTTACTTTATTATTAAAAATGAAGTTCCATGAAATGTATATGCAACAATATTTTATAGCTCTATAACTATCCTGACAGCTTCCACAACCTCACCTATAATGCTATATTGGCATTTCCTTTTGCATATAAGCTTTACTATAGACCAGCCATTTTCATCCCCATATAATATTAGAGGTAGGTTGCAATTATCCTCCAGATTCTTTCTAATTTCTGATGAATTACCTGTAGTTGGTCTGTCCAGTGAGCACATGTCAGTTCAACACCCAGCAGTAAAGCATCTGCTTTGCATGCAGAAGATCTCAGATCCAATCTCCAGCATCTTTACATAGGTCTGGGGGAGACCCCTGCCTGAAACCCTGCAGAGCTGCTGCCAGTCAGAGTTGACAGTACTGAACTAGATGGACCAATGGCCTGGACTTGGTATATGGCAGCTTCCTATGAAACTCCTATGCAAAGTTAAGCACATCTAAACTCATTGTTTTCAATGAGCTTTGGCATGTCTAACTGCCTAGGGCTGTAAAGGTTCCTGATCTCAAATGATCTCAGCACTGGACTAGCTAGCTTGCTTTAACCTGTTTGAAGAGAATGTCCATGGCAACCTGTGTGATGTCATAAGTCTTTGTGTTGGAAACACCAAAGGAGGGCCTTGCCAAGTACACAGGCAACTGAAACAGGTGATGTCAATAAGCTGCCAATAGTTAAGCTAAGGAAGGAATATTGCAGGTGAGCTAGATGGACCAGTGGTCTGGCTTAATATACGTCATGTCCTATGCACCTATGGAACTTCAGCATAAGGACTTGCCAATTTACTTTAATGAAGGGAGAAGCTCCAGTCTCTCCATTCTGTGGCTACGAATGAGGAAGCCCTTGCAGACATAAACATTTATTGTGTGCACTGGAACCCAGTAAATGGAAATAACTGTGGGACTGTGATGACTGATTCAATTACCAAAGGGAAAATGTTGTTTGTATAAACACGCAGGAAGCCTGATGCTTGGGTTTACTTTTGTCCACAGATGTATCACTGTACCATGATTTAGCTAATATTAAAAATACACACATAGCAAAGTCTTAAAGAGGTCACAGATCAATTATGCCTTGATCTGCTTTCTTCTGAACTAAGTCAGGATGGGCAGGTAACCTGGATCTGAGATAGTAATCTATACTAGGGGCTTAGGTTCCTATAGCAAACTAATGCAACAACATACTGAAGAGCCATTTGCAATATCTCTGTGATGCAGCCAAGCCAGCATATAATGTGGAGTAAATGTTGTTTAGTAAAAGAATGAACACTGATAAATGTCTGGCCATTAAGGTCAGCCCATGGAGAATGAAACAAGAAACTGCTGTGAAGAGGGAAATAGAGGCGAGGGAGGAGGGAAAAGTTTAAAATTCAGCACCATGGACAGTAGCACTCACATTTTGGTATAATGGAGTTTGCACAAAGCTTAATTTTCAGTCTTACATGCTGAAGCACCATAATACAACAGTTATTTTAAGCCTCTTGGAGCTTTTCTAAACTCTTTGTGTGCCGAGTGCTTGCCACACGCCCACCTGTTTTCAATGATTTGGGCGGGGGGGGGGGTAGAGAAATGGAAAGAATTCTTTGCAAGAGCACTCAACAAAATGACAGGTTTAATAATCTGCACTTAGACAGCACTTTTCATCCAAGGGTCTCAGAGATCTTTATAAATATTCATGCACTTTATACATATTTTCAGCCAATGTACCCTCCCTTTCCTCCATCCCAAACAAGTAAATATACCCCAATTCCCCTTTTGCAGATCTGGAAAGGCAGACTCAAAATTCAGGGAAAGTGAAATTTAAAGGGCAACCCTCTGTATATCTATTGAGCAGTATGTCCCATTGAGTTCAGTGGGACACTTGGTCACAGGCAAATGTATACAGGATTGTATCCTCAGAGTGACAAAGCAATTCTTCTGGAGTCACAATAAAGGGTCAGCTATAAACAGAAACAGAAATAGGGTGGGAGATAAGAAAATAGGCTTTTTCTTTTTACCAGTAGTTGGCAATCATTGGGACATGTAGTGTGTAATATTGTGGCTTTTATGTAATGTCAGCAATCAATGCACAGTTTTATCAGTAACTCTTTATAGCAGACTTTAATGTGCAGCTTTGAAATCTTGTAGTTCTAGGTTGCATAGGAAGCTGCTATATACAGTGTCAGATTATTTGTTCATCTAGCTCGGCATCTACTCTGACTGGCAGTGGCTCTACCAGGTTTCAGGCAGAGGTCTTTCTCATTTCTGCTCCCTGATCCTTTTAAACTGCATATATCATGGACTGAACTGGGCATGTTTTGCATGCAAAGTGTGTGCTGTGCCACTAAGCTGTCTTTCCTCATAGCTTCATTGCCTTCCAGTCTCTTTCCCAGCTCAATTCAAAGTGCTTTTCATTATTTTTAAATCCCTAAACAGCTTATAGCCAGGATACTTAAAGGACCATCACCTCCTACATTAGCCTGCTGGTCCATGCAATGAGCTAGGAGACCCTATATGCACTGCTGTCATCTGATGTTTCGGAGTTGGGAACACATGAAAGGGTATTCTCTGTTGTTGCACCCTTCCCTGGGGGATCCTTGGTGATTTATGTTTCATCAGGTCATTGACCTGATTGATAATTGACCCTGGCTCCTTTATGCACTGACTGATCCATTTATCTGTTATGCTTATGTTTTCTAAGAGAGCACTGCATAAGCGGTAAGACTGTCACACAATTAAATAGTTGGTTAAACACATTAGTCAAATTGGTCAACAGATTAAATGTGTACAAATCTGCATGTGCATAAGTCCCATGATTTGTAAATAAAATGCGTTCTGAATCAATCTACTCAGAAGTAAGCCCAACTAGTTTCAATGGGACTACAGCGTAATCTGCAGAACTGCAAGTATGCAAGTGCTCAGAGTGTTGCCTTCCCTTGGTGGTCAGACAGAATCATCACCATCCTTTCTCCTTTCCAGGCTGACTCCTCCAAAAGCAAGACAAGGACCAGCAATGGCACTCACACACACAAAAGTTCTAAGCCTCCATGCCTGCAACTAAGTCATACTCCCAGTTCTGTCAAGAAGAAGAAGAAGAGTTTGGATTTGATATCCCGTCTTTCACTCCCTTTAAAGAGTCTCAAAGCGGCTCACATTCTCCTTTCCCTTCCTCCAACAAACACTCTGTGAGGTGAGTGAGGCTGAGAGACTTCAGAGAAGTGTGACTGGCCCAAGGTCACCCAGCAGCTGCATGTGGAGGAGCGGGGAATCGAACCCGGTTCCCCAGATTACGAGACTACCGCTCTTAACCACTACACCATGCTAGCAACTGAGGAGTGGGCGGAAGAGAGAGGAAAATGGAAGATACCAAGATGAGAGTGGGGGAAATGGAAAAGGCTTCTTCTAAGAAGATATCCAATTAATTTGGAGAGATTTGTAATCATTTCGAACAAGCAAAAGTAATCATTTAGACCAGATGTTTTGGACTGCAACTCCCATTACCTCCAACCAGGATGTCTGTGCTGGCTGGGGATGATAGGAGTTGTAGTCCAAGACATCTGGAGAGCATCAGGATGGCAAAGCCATTTGATCAATTGATTAAACATCACAGCCCTAATGATAATTTATCCCTTTCCTTTGCTGGTAATATTGTGATTAGGATATATCAATTCAGCACTAAGAAAAACCTGTTTAGGCATGCACTCACAGCCTTGTTGACTTAATCCTAGAAATTCCTGTGAACAGATTATTATTAATTAGAATTTATCGACAGCCTCTTTATTCCAAGTGGTATCTTTAAATTAAGCCAGTTTCAGAATACCTAACTCTCTGGGCTATATTTTCTATCTCCTTCAGTATCAGGATAAATTCCCAAGGGAGAAATAGAATTGTTTCTTACAGTGAACAGGATAGGAAAGGACGGCACTCAGAGACAGTGGCACTGTTTAATCAGATGCAGCAGACTTCTAACTTACTATGGAAAAGGTGCACAGCCTTGCACAATTCACTATCTCTAAACCCTTAGTTCCCCATCTGGAAAATGAGAGTAAAAGTGACCTGCATTACTATTTTGTTGTAAAGTCAAGCAGGCCACAATCCACTGGGAAGTTGTTCTGCACAAGTCCCCTTCCAAAAACATTGTACGGTGACATTGTGCAGCTCCTATTTATTTCAATGAAATTTGCACAGAGGAGTCCCTGGTGGATTGTGCCCACGGGGTGTGTGTGTTATGCACATTAAAAAGTGTCATGGGCCTGGAAAGGATGTGAAAGCCACATAAATGCATCCTCGGGGCAAAATGGCAGAACAACGAAAGCTTTGATGGATTTATGCTGTGAAACAAACTCTTTAACATTCACTGTTCTTCACAAAAGCTACCCTTCAACGTGGACTTTGTCTCTGCTGCCTTGCCTAAGGCAGGCTGCCCAGCTTTTATCCATTAATGTTCATTGCAGAATCTCAACCCCTTTAAGAAGTGGCAGAGAGCTTGTAAATCCTGCCATCCGATGAGCTGTGCTGTTGCAGTGTGTCAACTCAATGTGTGGAAGGGAAAACAGATGTGCTAAGTAGAGGGTGGGTTTTTTTCTCCTTGTTTACTGTGTGGTTTATCTCCTCTTCAGTCTTCCTCTTTCTGTTTAAATATTTGATGTCATTTTGTTTATTTCTGTGACAAATGATTTGGGGTTTCATTTCCAGAAACAGAAAAGTGTCAGCAATGCCAGCATTGCTGGGGCATCTGTTCCTTGCTATTAATTAGTCCCTTTCCCTGCTTGCTTGCCTCCTAAAAACAGAGATGCCTACATCATGTAACTGTCATTTATTTGTAGCAGCAGATCCATTTCCTTGAGACTGTCTCTCTGGCTGCTTTTCAGTGCCTACTTGTGTCCAGTCTCAGTGAAAAGTTTGTGGAATTTGAAGCCACAAGATGTGATGGTGCTCACAAGCTTAAAAATGGACTTCGATAGATGCACCAAGGATAACCAAGCAATCTGCTGGTTGGGAATCTGAAGGCCCTGGGCTTCATCCCGGTCCACCAACAATAGTTCTCTAGCACCCAAACCATTGGAACATAGGAAGCTGCAGTGTACTGAGTGGGAATATTGGTCCACCTAACTCAGTGTCATCTTGTAGCAGCTCTCCAGTATTTAAGACAGAGACTCCCTCCCTGGCTTACAGATATTGAACCTGGGACCTTCTCAATGCAAAGTAGATGCTCTATCACTTAAGTACAGCCCTTACCCAATTGTTTTTTGGAGGTCACAAAAAGCATGTTAGGGGTTGTGATTATGTTCCTACTTCATTCCTTCCCACTGGAATTAGTTAGAAGGAAATTACTTACACAAGGGCAGGCGCGTGGCATGTTTTGGGTGACCTCATGGAATGCAGAGCAGGTAGGATTCGATGTAGATGTGCTCCTCCCCTGTGCCATCCATGCCCACTCACAATGCTTCTGTATTTTCAGGGATTTACAGGGTGGCCTAGCTGGCAGAGCCTTTGTGTAGCATACAGAGACAATTCTATAGGTGGGGTGGGTTTGAATTCCAGAAATTCTCTGCCTCATCCTAACACCCTTCACTTGATGGAGCATTGAATGTAGGATTGCACCCTAAGGCCATAAATGACTACTAGCCATAATATAGCGCCTCCAGGTTTGGGGGAGGTATAGCCATCAATATAGCTTGCAACAGGAGAAGAAGGCAATTGTCTTCATGTTCAGCTTGTGAACATTCTAGATGAATCTGACTGGCCAGTATCAGAAACAGGGTACTGGATTAAATGGACCTTTAGTCCACCCTAGCAGGGTTCTTCTTATGTACAAAGGAAAGTCATTACTGTAACTGGCTTTAAATAAGGCTGGAGCAGTGTTTTTTCAAAGGTTGATTTCTTGTTAATGATTAAAGTAATTACCCCATTTTATGAACACTTCTAGGGCTTTCAGCTGGCAAGTGGTCATCATCTTGAAGATAATAAAATCCAATTTGTTTGCTTATTAAAAGCATTTATATCCTGTCTTTCCATTCCCAAAAGGGCTCTCCAGGCAACTAACAGCCACCTTAAAATATACCATAAAATTTAAAAAAAAGAAATCCGAAACAGTAGCATTAATACCAAATTATCAGCAACAGGCAAAATGTAAACAATTTAATATAAAATTATCCAGACTAATGCATGTCTGAGTAGCAGCATCTGTCCTCTAAAGCAGGGGTGGCAAACCATTTTACACTCAAGGGCTGAATTCCCTTCTGGAAAGCCTTCCAAGGGCCACACACCACAGACAATAGTGAGAGTAACGAATGTAAATTTACCTTTGTGCAGTAGGGTAGTTTCTATCCACAAGTATATATCCCTCTCTCCTCATCCAGACAAGTAAGAGGCATTAACAGAGTTCAATGACACATTCTAGCCAGGCAAGAACACTTTGGGTTCCCTACCCCTACTCTAAAGACATCGAGGGAGAACATTAACTAGGCGTCCTGTGACAAGGAATTGCATAGCTACCTGAAGCACTTCAGATGGTGAGACACAAAGCAGGGCTTCCACTAAGCCACTGACCTAAGCAGTCAGGTCAACTTAAAGTTATCAGCACCAGCATTTATTGACATCAGACAAGAATTCCATTCTATGGCCACATTGACACCACACCTTTAAAGCACTATGATACCACTTTAAGCAGTTGTGGCTTCCCCCAAAATAGTTCTGGGAGCTGTAGTTTATTAAGGGTGCTGAGAATTGTTACGAGATACATTTTCCCTAAAAACCCTAATTCAGGATTGGGGAGCCTGGGTGTCACTGGACACCCAGTGTCACTGGACTACAACTCCCATAACCCCTAGCTATTGGCCATGATGGCTGGGGTTTATGGGAGTTGTAGTCAAAAATGTCTGGCAGGCCATGTGTTCTCCAACCCTGCACAAAACAGACTGGGTTCTGGGTATGTTAAGGACAATTTTTTCTTATATGAAACTGCCTGACAACTCTGTCCTGCCATTTCTCTGCCCTTCTCAGCAGGTATGCACAAGAGACAGAGCCCTTTCTGCTATGATGCCCAAACAATGGAATAGTTTCCCCAAAGAGGTACACCTAGCCCTGCCTTCCTCTTCTTGACAGACAGTGTGTTGTCCCAGCGAGCTCCTTAGAATTGCTGCCATACTAAATATTGTATACTGAATCTGCTGTAATTTATTATTTTATGTTGTTTTTACGGTGCTTGGACTGTGCATATTGTAAGATACCTTGGCTATATTGTGTGCAGAAAGGTGAGATGCAAATCCCTGGAAGGAAGGAACAATGGGTGGAGGCAAGGCAGTAGGACAGAGCTAGGTGAGAATCAGTATTACATCTTGTGTAAATGTCCCCCATTTCCCACCCTGTCCTTCAAGACCTTATTCCGCATCCAAACATGCAACCCCAATGTATTTTGTGGACCTTTTGCTTAAGGGGATTATAAAAATACCACTCAGGCCTTTTCAAGTGAGGCATCCTCTACTAACCAAGTGTGAGTTTCTCAGCTCTTTGTGGGGTATGGTAGGAACTACGCTACAAGCAAGCATTAGTCATATGGGATCCCTTCCTACTCTACCTACAGAGCAGATTTTACTGAGGGCTAGTAAAGACAATTGCACGTAAAGAAAAAGAACAAACCTTCTGGCATTAACAGCTGCAGAACTGAGTCAGTGGAATCACACAGAAACACACTTTTTTAAAAAAAACCACAGTCCCACACTGTTATATAAGTTGCTGAAGGCTGCAAATGTTAACCAGAAAGTTGAGGGGCTCTAGGATATTACATTAAAATTCAAACTTTTATACTCATGAGGACAAAGTATCTGATTAGGAGATGCCCATGTGGAAGATTCATTAATGACTAAGAGATTCATTTTACTAGGGTTCATCCACACTTCCAGTTGTGCCCTGCATAGAAAGCACTGGTCCGAGAGGCTTTCCTCTTGATGCGCATTTTCTAGGCCTGAGTTTGAGTGGTTTTCCCTTTGCCCCGTTCCTTTCCAAAGGAAAACCCATTCTTTAGTGATAGATCATAACAAATGGCCATCTGGGAGAAATCCAAATTGCTGCTTGCTCCAATTGAGTGGTAAAGAGTGGTATTCCCCAGGGGAGGACGTGGGTGTCGCTGTGGTCTCAACCACTGAGCCGCTTGGGTTTGCCGATTGGAAAGTTGGCAGTTTGAATCCACACAATGGGGTGAGCTCCCGTTGCTCTGTCCCAGCTTCTGCCAACCTAGCAGTTTGAAAGCATACCAGTGCAAGTAGATAAATAGGTACCGCTGCGGAGGGGAAGGTAAACAGCGTTTCTGTGCACTCTGGCACTTGTTACCTTCTTCCATTGCACCAGTATCAGCTTAGTCATACTGGTCACATGACCCGGAAAGCTGTGGATAAATGCCAGCTCCCCCGGCCTGAAAAGTGAGATGAGTGCCAAACCCCATAGTTGCCTTCGATTGGACTTTACCGTCCAGCAGTCTTTTCCTTTTCCCTTTCCCCAGGGGGGAAGCAGCAGAACAAGAGGAATAAGCACCTACTCTTAACAGCAGACTTGGAGAAGAGCAAGGCCAGAATAGATGATGGAGACCACATGGTTACTAACATACAAGCTATGTGTAATGTAGTCAGTGCCAGCCTTAGCCATTTTGCTGCCTGAGGAAAAGGACAAGGCAAGGCAGTATGTCTCTGAATACCAGTTGCTGGAAATCACAGTGGAAGACTGCTTAGGTCTTGACTTTGGGCTCCCCATAGGCTGCTGTGAGAACAGGATGCTGGGCTAGGTGAGCCACTGGCCTGATCCAGAAAGGCCGCTCTTACATTCATATACGATTGCACTATATGTGTCTATGTAGGCAAATGAGATCAAGGACAGTGAGAGCAAAGAGGAAGGGAAGATGTACAAAGAAGAAGAGGCCAAGTTCCAAAGAGTATCAGAGGCATACAGATATTTAGCAATATTAGCATATTGCATGTGTTGCTGGGATGGGGCAGTAAATTGTTTGGCTGCACCATACATGCATTTCAAAGCAAATAATGATTACATAGGACTCAAAGGCAATGAGACCAAGGACAAAATGAAGGCAAAGGAGGAGGGAAATAATTTTGAGAAGATCAAAGGAACACAATTGTGTCCATCAAAAATTGCAAGACTTAATAAAAATCGGGGATACGTTTTGAACACAATATTAGGTCAGTTGTTTTGGCTCAACTTTATAAAAAACTCATTCTTTACTAGGTAAAGATTCATAGCACAAGTGGCTTAAATCTGCCATAAAGGCCATTGCAAGATGATTTAGGGTGATATTCATTGCTAGTCTTACTTAGACCCCCTGAAATAAATGGACATGGGCAAATTTAGGTTCATTAATTTCAGTGAGTCTACTCTGAGTAGGACTTAGTTGAATATCACCCATAATATTCCATGTCTGTGGATTTTATGCAAATTTAATAAAGTGTTTTGTTTAACAATGAAGATATCCAGATGCTAACTTCATCCACCCAGTTGGCAGATAGAAAACACAGCAAAGGAAATTTAAACTGGGCTGATTATTCAAAAAACTATCCTTTATGGATGGATGCATTTGTCAGTGTCAGTTTCTCTCGGTTTCTCATTTTTCCAGTCTTAAGTTTTTCCTCTCCTCCAATTTCTGCACACTTCGTTTTTTAAAACATGAAAATTCATGTGGGTGGTATGCAACTAAGCTTTCCTCAAAATAGACCCATTGAAATCAATGGACATGATTAGGTTCATGAGATTAATTTCAGTGGGTCTACGCTGAGTAAAACTTAGTTGAAGGCCACCCTGTGCTTTTTCGTGTGCATTGCTCATTTTTTGTATGCATTTTTGCCAGTAATTTCCCTCTAATAAAATGCATCCCTATATGTTATTTTCACCAATGTGCAAAACTTTACATACACTTTCCCCAGATATAGAAGTTGTCATATGTATGCTCTGATTGAAGAAGTGCACTGCAAAATTCAGAGAAGTGTGAATTTCAAAGGAGGGCGGTGTTCCGATTTGCATATTGGGTCAGGAAGTGTGAACTTGGTAGGTTTGCATTAAAATGCACACTGAACAAATGTATTCCCCCCCCCATCTCTAAAACCCATCAGATTCAGCAGGTGACTGTGGAATAGCTCAAGAGGAAAGCCAGATTGTTTAGGGATTTAAAACGGATTCCGCAGCACTGCAGGAAGGAGCTCCGCATGACCATGTAGAACATGGACAAAACCTGAGGAGACAGATCTCCATTTAAGAAAACATGAATGAGTGGCCAATTGCTCTTTCCTCTGATGCCACTGGTATTAAGGATAGTAAGGCAACTATAGGACCAAACTATATCTGGTTGTTTGTTTGTTTTTTAATTTAAGTGCTCTTCAAACATTTTTCTTTGATGGTTTCAGCTCTTCTGACTGCTCCACCATTTGGCAAGCCCACACTGACTGCTTTGCAGATGCTGCAGTGACGTTGTCCACAAATGCTTTGTAGACTCTATGGAAACATATCACTAGCCCTCAGCAATGGCAGCCATCAGCCAATCAGATTGTTATTGGAGCCCAATGTTCTCAGCCTTGAGGAGCATCTATTTATTGGACTGTTCCATCTGAGTGAAAGGAGGGGAACACATGTTTCATATTAATCTTCATTTCAACTAAGTTGTTTTAGCTCATGCTTTATTATGGCACTTTGTAACAATGCATCAGTAACAGCAGCCCCGGGGCAGTGCTTGCGTGCAGCAGGCTGAGTGTCTAAACTGCTCTCGAGACAGTCTCTAATCACACACAATGAGGCACTCCCTGGTGCACCATATGAATTTATAATAGCAATTTATATGATGCCCTGAAGCATGATTTGTATTTGGTCTGGGATGCTGGGGTTGGTTTGGGAGGGGAACTGCTTACATTGTCCTCTCTTTCACCACATTTATATGGTGCCTTTAAAGCACAGAGGGCAAAAACCTAAACATACATGGAATTTCAGTCAAGTCTTTTATTTCTAGTGTGTAAGCACCAAACTAGACAAAATGCTATTTACACAATTAGCAATTGCAAGTAGCAGATCTTTAAAAGATAAATGGCAGGTGTGGGGGATGGATCTGGACTGGTATCCTGAAGTGATTGGGGGCTTAATCCTTCCCCCTCCCTTGCTGCACTCCCAGTTCAAATCCAGTTTCCCAGCTCTCCTTTGCGTTGGAGGAAAAGCTCCCATCTATGCCAATGGGAGCTTTTCTTCCAATGGAAATAGCAAGTCCTGGGCAGCCTGATTCAGATCAAGAGCACAGTAGGGCTTAAAGGGGTAAAGCCTTCCCTACTCTGGAATGGGTGCCCTGCACCTACTATTTATAAAGCCATTCTTTTACAATTAGTATTCTTTTAAAATTGGTATCTTTCTAATTTGGCCTTAGGGACATAGGAAGCTGCCCAGGGCTGGCCCACACTTGAGGTGAGGTGAGACAACTGCCTCCTAAGAGAATTAAGATAATTTCAGCAAGTGTAGCTTGGCCTGGGAAGACAAACAAAGTAAACTTTCAATTAAGTTTAGCCTGCACAGGGCTTGCTATGTTTAGGCTAGTTAACAGTGAAATTGTAACTTCAGTAGCGGCTTGAACTTCAGGGCCCAGAGGGGCCCCAGAAGCAACTTTAGTGCAATTGCTTTAAAAAATTGGGACTAGTAGATCCAATTTGAGTCACATTGATTTGAATCAAATTGATTAATTTTTAGTTGTATATATTTCAACAATCCCAAAGTTTGAGAGTCAGTAGCACAGGTGTTGTAAAAGTGTGTTGAACTGTCATGAAACAATCCCATTGAAGAAGAGAACAGTGGTTGTCCAGAACTTGTTGCTGGTGGCGAAGGGGCCCCTATGACAGTTCAGTCTTCAGGCCCCCAGAAATGTAGGTCTGCCACTGGGGAGAGGAGACACCAACTTGTCCTCAGGCAGAAACATGTCCTTGACTGATCCTCTAAAGGTCTTTATCGAAAGAGTATCCTTTTTGAATGCTTGCAAAGGATGTCAGGATGACCAAGGGGGAAAGAGGACAGGGCTCCAGTGTCTTTGACACTTGTACTCTTTTCAACTACAGTGGCACCTCGGGTTACATAGGCTTCAGGTTACAGACTCTGATAACCCAGAAATAGCGCTTCAGGTTAAGAACTTTGCTTCAGGATGAGAACAGAAATCGTGCTCCAGCGGCGCGGCGGCAGCAGGAGGCCCAATTAGCTAAAGTGGTGCTTCAGGCTAAGAACAGTTTCAGGTTAAGAATGGACCTCTGGAATGAATTAAATACTTAACCAGTAGTACCACTGTAGTTTGTAATCCTTTTTGTAAGTATAGGTTATCTCACTGCATAGCTTCATCTGTTGCAATGTGCCCTTCTACACACAGTTACTATAGACACACAAATTCTTATCTCCTTTGCATCGCTTCTCATCTAAAGAGTGTCATCTTTTAGAAAAAGCAACATCTGTTCCTTTTCTGCTTGCCATGCTGTTGTTGCAGGCACAGAGCCTCTGTCAGAGAAACCAAAAGCAGCCCTATCTGAAAGCTCAGCTTGCTTGGTTTCAACAGGTTCTCCAGAGATTTGGATTTACTATGGTACCACCAATTAATAAATGATAACTTTCACAGATGTAGTCCCCCCCCCAATTATAATTCTGGGTGAAGCAGCCAGTGATTCCTACTATACAGCTGTTAAAAACCTGTGTGCTCTGCCACATGAATTTAGGAATCTTATGTCTCCCAGCCTTGTTCTTTCCATATAATTCCACCACTACCCTCTCTGCTCCAGGCCTGGCCTGAGGCCTTATTGTCCCTCTGGCTTTCTCACACGTTAACCACCCTGCCGGCTTAAAATAGGATTGCCAGGCTCAATATTAGACAGAGCTGCTGGGTCTCCAGTATTTCTATAAAAAGAGATCATTCCAGCTGACCAATCCTGGGAGAATCTAGGACTAATCAATCCTCATGCTAAAGAAGCTGCATCTTGCCACTAACTTCTGAGAGGTTGGTGAGAAAAGGAAGTAGGAATCTAACCTGTGGTCCTCTACAGTTTCAGAAGGATGTCTCTCTGGGAGGGTTTATTTCTTACTCGCCAGATCTCCTACCAAAAGCTTGCTCATTACTTTCTGACATTTTAGTGGTTCATCATAAAGTACTTGCCTACTGTGGCTTTGTGGTTTTCCCCTCTGAAGCTGAGTCATCCCTATGGGATAGTAGCTACTTTCCATCCCTTGCTAGAATTCTCTAGATCTTGTAGTCCCACAGCCTCCACCCTACCTCTGGGTAAACTGAGAAACCTCTGAACAGAAAAAGAACAGAGACGGGGAATCTGAGGCCCTCCATTTGTTGCTTGATTCCAGCTCCATCCCCATCCAATATGACAATGGCCACTGAAGACAGGAGCTGTAATCCAGCGGCATCTGGAGCAGAGGCAGATTTAGGGCACCATGACGGGTTCTCCTTTACAGGGTGCCAAGCCGAGGGGGGTGCCTTCCTGCCTCCTTTCCAAAGCCTACTTAGCACTTGCCCAGCTTTGGGAAGGAGGTGGGACGGCTCTAGGACCCTGCCAGAGCCCTTGCACCTCCTTCCCAAAGCCCAGCACCTCACTTACCTGGCTTGGGAAGGCAGCGCAAGGGCTCTGGGGGCATCAAATTTTGGTCTGCCCCTGCCTGAAGGAGCATATGTTCCCCCAGGTTATCTTCTTGGTCTTCAGTCAAATATGGCCTGACTATGGAGAAAGGAGAAGGCAGGCAGGCACTCTTGGTTGTCTTTTCTTAAAGATGTCAAGTGCTAGGCAACTGAAACTGCCACACATATCTTGTGGTGCCTAAGGTACGTTGCATCCCATGGTGGTAATACTTTAATTTGAGGGTGGCCATAGCTAAGTGGAAGAGCATCTGATGCTTTCTATGCAGATTCAATCTCCAGCATCCCCATGTAGGGCTGGGGCAGACTCCTGCCTGAAACCCTGCAGAGCTGCTACCAGTCAATATAGACAGTTACTCAGCTAGATGGACCAATGCTCTGGATTTGGTATGTGGCACCTTCCCATGTAGCAGTTCACTCCTGCACTGAGTTAAGCACAACTAACTCATTTGTTTCAATGGGCTTTGCCACGTCTAACTGAGCAGGGATGTAAAGGTTCCTAGTCCCAAAGGATGTCACATAGCTCTGGGTTAACTAGCTTGCTTCAACCTGTTTGCCAGAGAATATCCATGGCAGCCTTCTGTGATGTCATAAGTCTTTGTGCTGCAAAGAGCAAAGGATGGTCTTGCCAAGAACACAGGCAAGTGAAACAGGTGGTGTCGGTTAAGGAAGGGATATTGGAGGAAGTTGTCTTATCCCAAGTCAGACTATACATCCATCCAGCAAATACTATCTACTGGCAGTGGCTCTCCAGGGTCCCAGGTACAGGTATTTCACATCATCTGTACCTCCACCTTTTTTAAATGGAAGTTGCTAGGGATTAGGTGGAGGAACTTCTGTGTACAATGTACATGCTGTATCACTCAGCTATGGCCCCAGCCCTCAGTTAATGGAGCATTAGAAGGGAATGTAACATTTTGAGGCTGCTAGGTAACTTCCCCTGAAGACCACCTGAAATACAGTTGATCCACCTACTTGGTGTCACCTGTGGCATTTTTCCATGAATGAACATTGATCACCTTTTAAACTGCAAAAATAGAAATCAATCCAGGCTTTAAAATCCAGGCAGCACTGAAGTTGTGGCTGGCATCTGTCTGTGTCAGGAGACAGTGGAGAACTGCTCCTTCGGGAGTGAAGTCGAACTGTTGGAGAGTTACAGCACCTGCTGTGGCTGTGGAGACTGATACGGGAGAGATGTTTTGTTGCAGCTGGGGCAGATGAAGGAGTCTGGTTGTGCTGCTGCAGATGTACCATTGCATTTCTTCTCTCTGCGTTCCTCCAAGTGGTCACTCATCTTCCGGTCACTGCTGTGGATACACAACTTGACTGATTGTCTCCAGGAGCTGCGGTTGTCTGCAAGGGATTCCCACAGGGTGGGGTTAATGTTGCCAGCCTTCATGTCATGTTTGCAGAAGTATGCCTTCCTCTTTAAGGAACTTCTAAAAGTGCTCGAAGCAGCAGCATGATATGGAGCTGAACAGAAGGATAATAGTGGCAGGAAAGTAGCCAGGGGGGAGAAGAAAAGAGATAATAAGGGCCATTTGGAGACTTGTCATCTAATGCTTCTATTGTATCAAGAAAAGCTAAATCCTGCAACCTGTATAAGTTTTGCATTTCTTATAAATGCAGATTTTTTAAAAAAACGTTTTCCCCCCAGTCCTGGTGGGGATAGATAGAACATTTTATGTAGGCATCTGTTTATTTAACCTTTATTTCCCACTTCTCTTCCAAAATGGAACTCAGGGCAATATACATATAGCCACATCTGCTTGGCTTCCACAAGGCATTGGTCTCACATGCCTCCAGTTCATATCCTGAGACATACAGGCAATCTTGCTGGGTGAGAGCAGTGCTTTTTTTTTTCACCCCGAGAAAAATTGGTGCTGGAACTCACCATAAGGTTGTTACAGTAAGTCGCAGGGTGACTTGAGGCAGCCCTGAACAGGTCAAATAAGTGTGCCCCTGCCTTCCTCATTCTCTTAGATGACTAGGGCAGCTCAGAAGGGCCCTCGTGCAAACCTGCATGTGTGCAACAGTAGACACCTGGCTGGGAAGCTTAAAGCCCACTGCCACTACATGGGATACGGATTGAAGAAAAGGAAATACAAATTGCTCCTGCCCTATAGAACCTTGCTCTAAGATGCCCTGAAGTGGCTCTGTTGCTAATATAGGCCTTGCATCCTCTGAACTCTTAAGCATATTGAACATTACAGGTAAAAACACATACTAAATCTGCACCCTGGAAAACTCTTGTGAGTCAGTGTTGAGAGCAGCAGATCTCTTTCTATGAAGTACTGTGTCTCCCAAACTCAGAGATGCTGCGCCAAAACAGGGTCAAGTTAAATGGCTTGAAATCACAGCCTCCTACTGTGATGTCATGAGCACATGATCAAAAGTCCATTGTAAGCACAAGTAAGGGATTATGACAGGCACATATGTATCAGACATATGTTACTTGTATGGAGTGTGGAGTATGCAGGTGTCCAATTTCTTTCTGTGTCCATAAGGTTCTGTGTACCATAAGGACCATAAGGTACGTCTAAGGGGGGAGGGGGACCTGATTGTCAGTACAGTTATAGCCAGGATAAAGTGACACCTTTAAAAGCAGTGAGAAATACAGAGGGTGGTGCCACACCAAGGAAAGTAAAATGGCTGCGCTGGGTGGCAAATTTAGAGACCATTAAAGGCCAACTGCCAGCCATTAAGGACCAAGATGAGAGCCTTCAATTGGGTGCCCAATCAGAGCACACACCAGGGATGAAAGCCACGTTCCCTCTGAGGTAATTGGTCAGGGGCTGCATGACAGCAGCAGTGGGCTGGGCCAGAGCCCCAAGTTAGTGGGGTCAGAGGTAAACTGGGTGGTGTCTATTAAGAGTTTTGATACTATGTACAGTGGTACCTCAGGCTACAGACTCCGCTAACCCAGAAATAGTACCTCGGGTTAAGAACTTTGCTTCAGGATGAGAACAGAAATCGCACGGCAGCAGTGGGAGGCCCCATTAACTAAAGTGGTGCTTCAGGTTAAGAACAATTTCAGATTAAGAACGGACCTCCGGAACGAATTAAGTACTTAACCTGAGGTACCACTGTATGCTATACTTGGGCTGTCCTGCCCCACCAGGAATGCTACTAAAGGAGCACTGTCATCTTTATCTCCGCTGGTGGTACCTCAGTCATTCACAGACTAAATGGCCATGTTCTTTCCAGAAAGCAGAGCAGCTGTGGGCTACAAGCCCCCTGACAGATATTTTTCTTCTGGTGATTTCTCCTTGTGCTTTCTCCTTTCTCCTTTCCCCCCACATCTCCCCCTGTGCACCCAATAAATTGTTCTAGGGGTTTCTCTAACCTTCTGGATTAGATTTGGGGACAATGTGTGTGGAGGGGGGGAGGGGGGAAAGCCCCACTATGCAAGCAGGAATCCTTGTGCTGTCGGGACACAGTAGCTGAATGCAGCCCATAAGGTCCAATGATTGCAAGCCTAATAGGAAATATACACGTGAAGTGGTGTGCCCAGCAGTAGCTTGAGCCAGTGGTCAGTTCCCATTACAAATGAACCAATACACCCCTGCAGTATTTTCATATGTGCATTTACATTCTTGTAGGCATATGCATCATTCAATGCCAGTCGCACTCACGCACAAACACACATGTGCGCGCACACACACATACACACACACACACTATTTCCATAATCAAGACCCCCATGGGTTCGTTTTCAGCTGCCATCTCACCTACAGATGCAGGTATATTGATAATCCTTCCTATTATATCCCAAACAAAATGTTGCATTATCAAATAGCATCATTCATGCCATGCAAAGTTTTTTTTGTGTGTGTAGCTATTAAACAAATGCAATTGAGTGCGCTGGGAGGAGGTGGAAATGGATTGCAAATCAGGGGTAAAGAGATACAGCCTGTGAGTCGGCCAGAATAATTTCTGAACTGGACCTCCTGCTGGAGTGAAAAATGACGTTTACAGGAGAGAGGCTTAGAACTAATCTTCTGAAATGATGGTAAAGTGAATTCTTTCCAGGCTCTGCTGTGATTGCTCTTTCTCTGTCTCTGTTATTCCTTATTATTGTAATGAGTTCTGCTCTCTGAAGTGGGTAAGGTCACCATCCAGATAAGATCAGTTTCGGCTGCCACAACGGAGATGATCCGATCACAATTTGGACCTGCCACTTCTAAATTCACCTTGGGTATTAGCTTCTGGAAAGGAGATACTAAAAGTGCTAACTTGACAAAAGTGGGTGGGAAGGCAAAAAAAGAAAAGAAAAGAAAAGAAGTATGGACAATAAATAACCCAGCTACCCTTGTTCTGTGACTTGAGCATTATCATTAGAAAACCTAGATATAACAAATAATCTGGAACACCTTGCTTTCCATTTCACAAAGACGTTTGGCAGTGTTAATGCTCTATCAGTGATTCAATGGATGATGTTTTAGAAACAAAAAGGCCAACTTTCAGAATACTAGAGGGAGCCATTTTGTAATGGGACTGGACCAAATGCAACCCAGGACACCATCTGCAGCTCCCACCTCAAAAGATCTGTGACTTGTAGTAGTATCTCATTCCTTCCTTCTGCCGTTTCATTTTCAGTTGTGGAAATGGTTGGTTTCTAGTTCAAGACAAATACAAAGTTCAGCTAGGGATCTATGAGGACATGCTATTATTTGAGCCATACATGGAGTCCCCAACTTCCCAATCCTGAATTTGTCTTACAATGCTAGTAAGAACACGAGAAGAGCCAGCTGGGTCAGGCCAAGGGCCCATCTAGTCCAGCCTCCTGGTCTCACAGTGACCAGCCAAATGCCCGTGGGAAACCTGCAAGTGGGGTTGCAGCCCAAGAACTCTCTCTCCTCCTGCAGTATCCAGAAGGTATCTAGAAGGATTACTGCCTCTGATTGTGGAGGCAGAGCATAGCTATCACAGGTTGTAGCCGTTGAGAACCTTATCCTCCACAAATTTGTTTTAACCTCTTTTGAAGCCATCTAACTTGGTGGCCATCACTGTCTCCGGTGGGAGCAAATTCCATAGTTTAACAATGTGCTGTGTATCGAAGAAATTATTTAATTTGTCTCTCCTGAATCTTCCAACATCCAGCTTCATTGGATGGTCATGAGTTCCAGTGTCATGAGAGAGGGAGAAAAACTTTTCTGTATCCAGTTTTTTCATGCCGTGTATCGTTTTCTGAATGTCATGTCATGACTTGTCTTTTTTCTCAACTAAAAAGTCCCATATGCTACGACCTTTCATAATAATAATAATAATAATAATAATAATAATAATAATAAATTTTATTTATACCCCGCCTTTCCCCGGCCAAAGCTGGGCTCAGGGCGGCTAACACCAATAAAATTACAATAAAAACATAATAGGAAAAAAATACAAGAAAGCAATTTAAACTACATGTTAAAATGCAATCTAAAATGCAGCTTCATTTTAAAAGTAGCCCATAGGTCAAAACCGTAAGGGGAGGGAAACAAAAGGGTCAGACTGAGTCCAAACCAAAGGCCAGGCGGAACAGCTCTGTCTTGCAGGCCCTGCGGAAAGATATCAAGTCCCGCAGGGCCCTAGTCTCTTGTGACAGAGCGTTCCACCAAGTCGGGGCCAGTACTGAAAAGGCCCTGGCCCTAGTTGAGACCCATCTAACCACCTTGTGACTTGGGACCTCCAAAGTGTTGTCATTTATGGACCTTAAGGACCTCCGCGGGGCATACCAGGAGAGGTGGTCCCGTAGGTACGTGTGTCCTAGAGGACTAGCTCCATCCCCTTGATTATTTTGATTGCCCTATTCAGAACCGTTTCCAGCTCTGCGATATCCTTTTTGAAATGAAGCGACCAGAACTGTATGTTGCACCATAGCTTTGTGAAATGGCATTATGATATTGGCAGTTTCATTTTCAGTGCAGGGAAGAGGTAACTGGTGCAGCTGAAGGTGATTCACTCTGCATCTGATTTCCGCTTGCCAAGGTCCCTTTTGTCACCCCGTTCCAGAACTCCCATTAAGACAGAAGGGGGGGGGGACTTACAAGAGACACAAGTCTTACAAGAGAGAGCAGTGCATGAGGAGGGTTAAGCATATACTCCCACCCACCTATTTCCCCCCAAAGCCACTCCCGACATCAGGAGGGGGGGTTGCGGGCGCACACCCACCATCATTCACACAGGGCTGGCTGCAGCCCCGCGTGATCAGGGGAATCCTCGGGCCGCGTCATACCCTGGGCCAGCCAATCGGCTGGCTGCAGGGGCGGGGCTAGGGTCATTTAAGGATGGCGCGGCCCGAGAACGCCCCTTTCCTTCTCCGTTCCAGCTTCGTTTTCCCACCCACCCTCTAGGTTTCCCTCTGACTTTGCTATGGACCTCGGTTGGTCGCCGCAAGGGGCCTGGTAGGAGTTTTTCCACTTGGCTAATTGGCATTGTTTTTAAAGCCATTTGGTTTTTTCGCCTACCTCGTAGCAAAACGTCACAACACCTTTGGTTGGGCGGTTAGGCATTGGTAGGGGTATTATTATGCTGATGAGTTGAGGGGGAGGAGCGCCATCACCTCCCCCAAATATTTAGGGGTAGTCCGATAAAGGATTCCGGGGGGGGGGGGCGTTGCCTCGTCCGAAACCTATGGAGGCTAGGGCCTAAAGCGCGCTCCTGAGCGGTGACCACTCGGGGAGCGCCTAGAGATGTGCATCTCAGGGGCTCCCCCTGTCGGTGTTAACCCCTTCCGGTTTTATGCCAGATAGTCTGATAGGACCAATGCCTAAAGCCAATACCGCTCTTACCTGTAACCAAAAAAGTTGTGGCCATTTTTCGCCCATTAACCTTAAATTCTGGTGTCCTGTGTCTTTATTTATTCCAACTTGGAGGGGGGGGGATTGCCACGCAACACCTACACACAAATGTCAACTCCTTGGGGGGAAATGGGTTTGGCCACATTTATTTGCTGCAGCAGTGTGCACTCCCACCCTAACACTTTTCATTTGGCACAATCTTTTCCCCCTTCAATTATTCTTAGGGCTAAGTCCCATAAAGTTTACTTGTACTTTTGCAGTCAAAAGTAGGAGTAAGATGACGTGAAAACTGTGTGCATCTATATATTTTTATCCCCAATGTTTCCACTGAAAAGTAAACATAGGCTTCTTCAGTCTTATAGTGACCACTCAACTGTTAAGCAGTATGGTAAGGATTTCCCATACGTAGATATATGAATTTCCAAGGAGGAGAAAATAATGTGGGAGGGGAATCCTGGGAATTTCAGGTTTTCATTTAAAAGCTATTTTAACTAAGGGGGTAGGGGAGAGAAAGCAATTTTGTTCCTTTCAGCTCTGTGAAAAAAAGGTTGAAAACATGATGGCAACACTTCTAAGAGGCAGGTAACTAAAACACCCCCAATGAATTATGTCTTCAGAGTCGTGATTTTGAAGGGCTGACTCATTATTTCATTTCAAATGTATCTACTTAGTGATACCCAGGTTTTGGTCATTGACGGAAAGACTCAGAATGTGGGAGAAGGCTTTTCATGGCTAATATGTCAAAAATTGGTTCATTAAAACTGAAATCCTATTCAAGGCAGAGAGTCAAAGAAATGTGGTTGATGTTGAAGGGGGGATGTCATTAAAGTTTGATAGAAGGTTCTCTCCTCTGAACAGAAAACAGACTGTTCCTTAATGCTCTCTGCTTTACAGGAGAAGTGGAAGTTAAGAACAAAAGCCCACGCTTATTGTTCCGTTTGGGGGACGTAATGGGGAGGGGACGTAATGGGGAGGAACCTAGAGTGTGTATGTAATGCTTTCTCAGTGTTACTAGTAAAGAAAAGTCCCCCCCCCAACTTCAGTCTCCAGAATGTAAATCTATTAAATAGTGTACATTTAAATTACGATACTATTGATATTTCTGATTTTTTTTTGTTTAACAAAGGTTGTTTCCTTCTTCAGACGAGCTGACTACAGCACTTTTTTTAACGTTCCTCACTTTCTAAAAATACTTCGAAGTCTGCTCTGAGGCAGATGATATGGCTTTGTGAATGGTTCAAGGGCTAGCCAATGAGTTCTTTGAACAGCCCTGCTCTGAGAAGGTTGGGGGCGGGGCAGTTGCTTCATGACTGATAAAACAGCTAGCCCAATCAGCACTATGAACACCGGACTTCTCTCAACTTTGGAAAATCTGTGTCAAAAATGCTGTGAGTCCCTCAAAGCCATGTTACCCCCTTTCTCTGCCATCTCCTTCTTATTGTTCTTTTCTACCAACCTTTTAGGGCAAGCTGTCACAAGATACAACAGCATAAATAACAGCATCAGATAAAATTACAGATAGGAAGCCAGGAATAAGATAAACCCAAAGCCTGGAGGAAGGAGCTTTAGGGTTTGTTTACAGGTCACATGAAAAGAGAGTAAGCAGAGTTCTCCAGGGAGGGAATACACAAAGGTCAGCCACCACTGAAAAGGCCCTGTCCTTAGTACCTACCAACTTGATTGGCTTAAAGAACAGGGCATCTGAGGCTGATCTTAGGGCCTGAGCAGGCTTATATGGGGGTGGGAAGTCCTTCCCCCACTGAGCCAGTTCCAAGCCATGTGGGGCTTTAAAATTTAGCACCAGCACTTTAAACTAAGTCTGGAAACAAATACAATAGCCAGTGCAACTTGGTTCAAAAGTTGTGAAACATAAGCAAACCATCTGGTCCCCACAAGCATTCTGGCAGCAGAGTATTCTACTTCCTGAAACTTCCAAACTGTCTTTCGTTGTAGTACTAAGTAGGGAGAGTTACACTACTTTAGTCTGGATGCAACCAGTGTTAGACTAAGCCAAGTCTGCTAACTCTAGATAGATCGCATATTGTGAACCAGCCTAAGATGATAAAAGCAATCCTAAGCAGCTGCGTACCTGATTCTTCAGAGGGAGAGCAGCCCTGTGCCCAGCTGGTGGCAAAACTTCTGGCTAGATCAGCAGGGCTCCCCAACCAACAGCATTTCTGTCTTATCTGTATGAGATTTTGTTTTATTTAGCCCCACCCACACTACAGAGCTGCCCTCAGGCACCAGTTTATAATTTCCACTGCTCCCTGAGATCAGTAGATGGAAACCTTCCTTCCTTTGTGGAAAATAAATTTACATGGCCCTGTAAGTGTATCGTTTTTCTGTGTAAAAGCAGCGCTGATTTTTCCATGTATTCTGGAAGCTGGCTTTGTGCATAGCAGCACTGATAACAGTCAAAGAGGCTAATGAAAACTGCCACATGCAAAAAAAAAGTGTCATGAAAACAGAAGTGTTTCTTTCCCTTGCTTCCCTGCATTTATCCATTAAAAGTGCAAAACTTCTCCTGCAGTATTTTCCCCAGGCTTCTGGTACTGATGACTCCAAGCTCTTCTTCCATCTCTGTGTTTACAAGCTGGTAGCAATTTTTGCCTTCTGCACGATGGCAGAGGCTTCCAAATGCTGGGTGGTTAAGAGACCCAGTGCTTGATTTCCTGACACATGTGCACATGTGGTGTATTGAGGATAGTGCAGCACAAAGGATGCAGTGAGAAGTGGTAACTTTGCGGTCAAGAGATCAGTCTGAGGATTGGGTTCTGAATCCCAATAAATTCCTCCTTCATGTGAACTGGCAGAGATCT